CCTGTCGGAGGACGCATATTTTCTATGAAAATTTCTCGGACATCCAGGCCGGTAAATGTTGTTAATACTGATTATTATAGACGGAGTATTTACTTAAATATTTGTGTCTATAAAAAGAACGTATAAACATTAAAAATGTCTTTAAAAATAAAAAATTATATATATATATATTAATTAAACGTCATTTTCAGTGGATAAGCATATTTGAGTAAACGCTCCGTTTATTTATTAAACAGTATTTTTTTCGTATATCGACCTGAATATTCAAGAAATCTTATTAAAGATTAATTTAAAGTATTCGAACCTGCGTCCACCTTGGTAGGAGAAACCATCATTAGATTTGAAGTGGTTTAAACCGTCTCGGCCACGGAGTGCGTCGAAGATCAAACAAAGTTGAATGAATTTCTAGACCTGCTGCTAATAAGGTCCATTCACTGTGTCGTGCCAGACAATCAATCTTGCACGTTTATAAATCTACCAGTCGGCAAGTGCAGTGAATATTGCTGCCATGTCAAGTCTGGTGCTCCGGCTATATATCTAAAAATTCTTCACAAAATCTAAATCTAATATATAATTCAATATAATCGTATAGACCAAGAGGTGGCAATGAATTGTTCTTTTGGGTGTTACCTTCAGTCATGCTGATGGAAGGTCAAAATGGTTCTCTATGATGATTAAAAAATAGCAGCTTAATTTTAGGACTGTTAAATTTTCTGTCATTGTTAAAGCATGACATATAAGTAAATAGTTAAAAATGAACTATGAATTTGTTTATATTTCTGAGATGAGGTATTATGTACACTATTTACATTGCACGGACTATCATCCTCATCGTTGTTGCCATATTTATCGCATAAAATATCACGTATAGGCCGTTGTACGCTCTGTTGGAATGTCGAACTAAACATTTCGCTCGCTGATCTAGACTGTTCAAGTTCCACGTGCCATGTCTTATGGATGTCAGTTATCAGTTATCTCTTGTTAATTCCCCTCTCCAAGTTCTCCAACGCCTTAACCAGGTATTGAACTCACACTCTTTGGGTCACTGGATCTAACTAATGATTTATCCACTGTTCCAGGTGTCCTTGAGGAGATCTGAAGATGAATTTTTGGGTATTATAAACCTAATATCTTCAACATCATTTTTTACCAGTTCTTACATTATAATTTTTGTTGTTATCATTGCATTTTTTTTTTTTTACCAGAGCTCATATTGCAATTTTCGTTGTTATTATTGCTTTTCTTTGGCACTCCTTATTACTGGTTCCCATATTGTATACATTTCTCTGCTTGATCGGCTCAGGAGATTTTTGTGGCCTAGCATATGCGCTGATTCCTTAAGTTTACGAATTTTCAAACGATATTCTATATCTATGATTTCAAACTAATCCCATAGAGGGCGGTGATTTCCCTTTTCTCTCCATATGTGGTCACATGCGTACATAGTTCGATAATAATAATAATAATAATAATAATAATAATAATAATAATAAATCCCCAGTCCTAGCGAAATTATTTAACTGCTGCTTGAAGGAGAAATTATTCCCAAGTCTGGGTAAAGTATCCGATTTTCAAGAACGCGGCTGAACGCTCACCCTCCTAATGTCATTCTCTTCAGTGTCATTAGCAAATTCTTTGAAGGTATAATCAACAAGAATGTTAGGTATAACCTTCTGAACGACAAGCAATATATATTTCGATCGGCCCGTTCCACTGCTGATACCCTAACTGCGATTACTCAAAGAATTAGTGAAGCACTTTTCAACAAATACATCTCAAAGATGGTCGCATTAGATTATTCAACAGTCTTTGATAAGGCTTGACATAAGAGGTTACTTCTCAAGATTTCTACCTATGGAATTACTGGAAGAGTCTTCTAAGATATAAAGTTCTTTCTACCGGGTAGGTCCCTGAAGGTAGTTGCTAATAGCCAGTCATCCGAGTCCCAGAGGATCAACGCAGGCTTCTTCAAATGTTCGCTTCTCCGTCAAACCCTCTTCCTCCTCTACGTAAATGATCTGCCTAAGAGTATATGCTGATCATTTGTGAATATCTGTGCAGATGATACAACGCTATATAGGTGCACTTGAAACAAACCTCGATGACCAGAGCTTGGCAGTTGATCTCTCCTCGTAGCTGTCTAGCAGAACAGTGGGGGAAAACTGGCTGGTTACATTCAATGCCTCAAAGACCAAACTAGTGACCTCATATCATCGCCGATCCAACCAAGAACTTTTACCAATCGTGATGAATGGATGTTCCCTCTGGGAGGCCCCGTGTCTTGAGCGCCTGTTGGAACTTAAACCCAACCCATACCTTAAGTGAAACTCGTACATACTACCCATGACGGGGAAATTGGCTGTTCCCTGTACCGCTACAGTAAGTACCTATCCTCTACCTTTACAAGAGTCAGACCAGGCCGGAAGTGAAGTAGTGATGTCATACATGGAAGGAAGGTGCCTAGTCTCCACTTTCCACTCTCGATAGAATTCAAAAGCGTTTCTGCGTCCTTGTGGACGATGAAGTATTTTCCACTCTGCAATCCCTTTTTCAAAGACGAGACTGTCGCTATTTCCATGGTGAGTGCTCAGATGAACTACACCACTAGTCCTAACCTTCACAGCTAAACCACGCCATGCTATGTGCAATATAGCGAACGACCTTCATTCCCTTCATATTTCCTAAGTACCACGCAAGTAGATTCTTCCCCGAACCAATGCGAAAGTGCTGCTACTCCGATCACTACAATCTTCACATGTTCAAGTCTAGGGTTTAACTGTAATCCTCCACACATATCCGCATAAGCTCTACCTCTCACACTGTAACCTTCTACCACGAGTGGCTCCGCGACTTGTACAGGGTGAACACCACTTAAATAATTAAAATAAATGTCACCTAGATTAAAGCGAACGAGCTTCATTCCCTTCATATTCCCTGGTGAGATGTAAGTTCCACCCAAGCAGATTCTTCCCACAAACAACTTCCTTGTAACCTTCTACCACTAGTGGTCCCAAGGACTTGTACAGGGTGAACACCACTTAAATAATTAAAATAAATGTCACCTAGATTAAAGCGAACGAGCTTCATTCCCTTCATATTCCCCTGGTGAGATGTAAGTTCCACCCAAGCAGATTCTTCCCACAAACAACTTCCTTGTAACCTTCTACCACGAGTGGCCCCGCGACTTGTACAGGGTGAACACCACTTAAATAATTAAAATAAATGTCACCTAGATTAAAGCGAACGAGCTTCATTCCTTCATATTCCCCTGGTGAGATGTAAGTTCCACCCAAGCAGATTCTTCCCACAAACAACTTCCTTGTAACCTTCTACCACGAGTGGCCCCAAGACTTGTACAGGGTGAACACCACTTAAATAATTAAAATAAATGTCACCTAGATTAAAGCGAACGAGCTTCATTCCCTTCATATTCCCCCTGGTGAGATGTAAGTTCCACCCAAGCAGATTCTTCCCACAAACAACTTCCTTGTAACCTTCTACCACGAGAGTGGCTCCATGACTTGTACAGGGTGAACACCACTTAAATAATTAAAATAAATGCCACCTAGATTAAAGCGAACGAGCTTCATTCCTCTCATATTCCCTGGTGAGATGTAAGTTCCACCCAAGCAGATTCTTCCACAAACAACTTCCTTGTAACCTTCTACCACGAGTGGCCCCAAGACTTGTACAGGGTGAACACCACTTAAATAATTAAAATAAATGCCACCTAGATTAAAGCGAACGAGCTTCATTCCCTTCATATTCCCCTGGTGAGATGTAAGTTCCACCCAAGCAGATTCTTCCCACAAACAACTTCCTTGTAACCTTCTACCACGAGTGGCTCCGCGACTTGTACAGGGTGAACACCACTTAAATAATTAAAATAAATGTCACCTAGATTAAAGCGAACGAGCTTCATTCCCTTCATATTCCCCTGGTGAGATGTAAGTTCCACCCAAGCAGATTCTTCCCACAAACAACTTCCTTGTAACCTTGTACCACGAGTGGCTCCGCGACTTGTACAGGGTGAACACCACTTAAATAATTAAAATAAATGCCACCTAGATTAAAGCGAACGAGCTTCATTCCCTTCATATTCCCCTGGTGAGATGTAAGTTCCACCCAAGCAGATTCTTCCCACAAACAACTTCCTTGTAACCTTGTACCACTAGTGATCCCGGGCCTTGTACAGGGTGAACACCACTTAAAAAAAATTAACACCCAATTTAAAGTACGTCTTATGACGGAGAGAGTAGAAATTTATTTTCAGAATCAACGTTGTTCGTCCTTTGGAAAGTCTCCAGTTTTTGATACTGGTTTTCACCGCTTATCTTTCTTAATAAGCAAACTGTGGCAAGTACACGGTTTTATAATAGCATTAAAAACTGATATTTTAAATGTATATATTCACGCAATATATAGAAATATATTAAAGCAATGTCGGGTGATGTGCAAGTATAAGAAAAAAAATTACTTCCCGTAAAGTGGTGAATCGACAAATATAACAATAAAGTAACTGCAAAAAAAAAAAAAAAAAAAAAAATGTTAAGCGCTTATCGCTCCTCGCTCTTCAAACCTCAATCGAGGATAAAACATACAAATATATGCACAACGACTAAAAAAATGGAAAGGCAAAGAAAAGCAAATACGATTAGAGAATACGTAATATAAATTACAGCAAGATTACATTTAAATTGAGAAACCATTACTTTTAATAAACCTCTTACCGAATTCTGAGCATCCCAGAACATGTATGTGTGTGTGTGTGGGGGGGGTTAAATATGGATACACGTATTTATGGACATACCTATAGATAGACCGAGAGAGAAAGAGAAAGAGGGAGAAATGAGTGAGAGAAATGCGAGAGAGATAGGGCGGGGAGAGAAGAAGGAAGATAATATATGCATATAGATTATTTATTTTCAAACACTTTATAAGTAATATCTTTCTTGCTTTCTCTTTCTCTCTATTTCTATTTTCTCTCTATTTCTATGTACTTTCCTCTTCCTGTTGATAGATAGATAGATAGGAAGGGAGGAAGGAAGGAAAAAAGGAAGGAAAAAGAAAGAAAGAAAGAAAGAAAGAAAGAAAAGAAGTAAGGAAAGCAGGAAGGAGATAGATAGATAGCTAGATAGATAGATAGATAGATAGGAAGGGAAAGTGAATGATAGATAGATAGGAAGGGAAAGTGATAGATAGATAGATAGATAGATAGATAGATAGATATCAATATAACAATATGAGAAAACAAAATATGAATGCGTATTGCTCCTCCGTGCTGTACTTGTGTTGTTTACAGCTGGACCCATCGAGAACAAGTTTATGTCGCTTGTCATCAACATCTGGCAAAGGAAATTCACGCACCTTTGTATCATTCGAGCGATTTCCTTATTTGTATTTTTTACGAAAAGAAACAACAACATATTTTTCTACTTTTTATTTTTTGGATTTCATTTCATTCCATATCCATACACAGTCATTCCGAGTAACATTGACGCACGTGCTTGTAATTGGGAACGTGCAATATGTCACCTTTTGCAGTTGACAGAAAATCATATACGTTTTGTTGGGGTTTTTTTTCCTGTCATTTTCAAGAGTTTTTTTTTCTTCCTCTCCCATTTCGCTATCACTTTTAACTTTTTTATCACATTGTATATCTTGTGTGGGTGGGAGTCTTATTTTCCATGCAACAACATCTTCTGCAGGGAGGCAACGTAGCAACCCTATCGATAAATGTTAAGATGGTCTCCATTCTTTTACTCTACCCGTTCAGTCCTTTACAGTTAGGACCCGCCTTGCCACTTCCACAGAGTCGAATCGTTCTCATTACCTATGTGTTAAACATGAAAGATTCACTCAAACAACGTTTTTTTCCAGCAACTTCCATTTTGTGAAACTGACTCCCGTTCATCATGAGTCAATCTTTGTCTATCCTTCTTATGCTTATATTGCTACAACATACTCTTTGATTACAGTCAGACATCTTATTCATCATTGCCGTTTTGACTGTAATCTCTACCTTGAGCGACTCTTGTGCGTTGCACTGGGTCAAATTTAGTAAAAAAAAATATGTGTAAAACTGTATTATATAGAAGAAGCGAGATAGAGGTTGGGATATGTATGAATTCATCAGTGAAATTTTAATTTGTAATGGTAAGTTTTTATTATCAATTAAAAAGTATCGTCTAAAAAACTGTAAGTATATGGCAATATTGGTTTGATGCAAGCACAGAAATTTTTCCCCGGCAATAAATAGGAACCAACAATAAATACAGTTTGTTATAACCATACGAAATTTGAAAATTTTTCTCATTTCGTTCATTATCTTCTTTATATATCCAGGATTAATCAGCAGTATCACCTGATGCTTATTACTTTATTTCTTTCCCTTATTCTTTGTGGAAGATACCGGAAGTCGAAATCACAGCGGCAAGGATTTTCAGGAAGGGACTTATCAAAATCCATTTGGACAACAGATTTTTGTCTTTTCTTTTAAATCATGACACATATGGAGAGTAGGATTTTAAAACTCTGTTAATATCTTTTGCTCGTCGCGATTCAAGCATTGATTGTACATCCTTTATTTTATTTTCTCATCTTACGTTGCTTTTTTGCAATACGTTTTTTTTTGCGTTGTCTTTTGTATTTTCTTTTCCTTTTTTGCCACATGTAGAGTAAATAATTATAAACAGTCTAACATTTATATATACAAAATTACTCTTAAAATGAGAAACAGCAAGACGTGGAAACAACAAAACGAGTATTATTATTAATCTTATGATTGTTATGTGGTGTTAAAGAAACGAGAGAAAGTAATACTGAGTAAAATTATGACTTCGGGGGCAAATGGAGAACAACTATGTGTTGAAATCCGACAGAATGATAAGATAAAGAATAAGAAAAGTGTATATAGTCTTTCTCGTAAGTTTTTTTTTTATATATATAGATGTGTGTACAATGCGTGTACAGATAATTTACTTGGGAAATGCAAGAAGTGTTTAGGGGCTTTCTCTTATCTCGGATTTTTGTTGAGTGCTATAAGATAAATTTTACTATTATGGCCTGAAAAAGGAGAATGAGCTGAAATTTTAGCCGACGCACGTGTTAACGGCTTGTCCGTGTTGGCTGCTTCTCCAATAGTGAGAATGTCATGTGTTTGTGTGTGTAGAGTAGAAAATTGGGGTCAATTCTCATTAGCTTGAAAAGAGTGAGTTAATGATAGTTATGACTGTTATAATTATTTTATTATAATGATTTTTGATATTATGATTAATTTCTATTTTTTACGGAGACGGCAGATTTGTAGGATTAAAGCACCTGCTTATGTCACTCTCTTTTGAGGCAGGACCCGTATTTTACCTCTCATAACACACTATATTCTCTTAGTGTAAGTTCCTTATAAATCTTATTAAGGACTTGTGGGTAAGGGAATGACAAAATGAAAAATAATCTATATAACGCCTTTCATCGTTCAAGACTTCATCAGGCTTTATAATGTTCTTATTGACGGCATAATATATATATATATATATATATATATATATATATATATATATATATATATATTGTTATGGCAATTTACCCACGCACGCTTGGACTCTCCCAGGTATAAATAGGAGCAGGTACTGCCTTTTTGAGAGAGAAGATTCTAGCAGTCAGCTCTGACAGTCGGACCGAACATTCTTGCTGTAACACTCTCGTGTGTATATGTCTGTATTACTGTTTCTGTTAATATATTTGTTTAACTCAATTCTTCTCTTTGTGTCTTTATTTCTGGCCCTAAGAAGCCCACAGCATACATACATACATACATACATACATATATATATATATATATATATATATAATTATTTTTATAAAAAAAATTATAACATAAGTATGTTATAAAATCACTACAAAAATAGCCATTTTGTTTCAACACACTCTGTGTCTTATCAAGTGATGATGTTGAAAAGAAAATAAATGGTTTTAAAAGTTTCAGATTAATTAACGATCCTACACTAGGGGGAAACATTGTTACAAAAGCTAGAATAACCAATCAAAAACGAAGTATAGAAAGATTCCAAAGCTTGACAACGAAATCCTGCTCTAGTAGCTATTCAGATCTTTAAATACGTGTAATATTAAAAATAATTTATACTAACTAATAATTATAAATTTACATGATAAAATTTAATATTAAAATTAAAAACTGGCAATTTTTAAAATCCAAATTTAATCACTATTAAGAATAGTAATTGTTGGTTATTGGAATTCATTCCGTGTATATTCTGCTCTACTTTGTATTGAGCACTCTTTTAAGAATAGTAATTGTTGGTTATTGGAATTCATTCCGTGTATACCAATTATATACTTTGATATATATATATATATATATATATATATATATATATATATATATATATATATATATATATATAGGTAAAATTGGGATAAGCAATCCAAGTGAATCCTAGTTAATATAAAATATTAAAACTGATTCACAGAAAAGAGCTCAATGCATTTATTACAGAGAATATATGAATTTCAGATAGATGAAAATCACTCTCCCAAAATAATGGCCATTTCGCCCTACCAACAGGCTTATCGACTCCTCCTTATTCAAAGACCATAAGCGAAATTTCTCGAATAACAATCGATCTAGTTTAATTAATCCCACGAAACCTGAACTAAGTATTAATTTCAAAAAATATTATTAAAAAATTACCGATAAACTATTAGTCTCAACTTTGGAAAGATTCACCGTATACCATCAAATGGTTTAATAATTTGAATGATAAAAATGAGCAACTTTTATAATTTGATTTTTATTCTTCTATTTCTATAGATCTATTGACTGGCTGTATAAATTTTGTGAAAAAGCATGTGATGATTGTTGCAGTTTTTTGTGTATATATATACTAGTGAGTTAGCCCAAATGACTTGACTCACTTTATAGTCCACCAATAGAAGGTTAACCAATCAGAAGACGTAGAACATTCAATCCGTCGTGTATAAAGGCGGCCATTTTGTCTACTCTACCCGAATGTCCAGTATAGCTTGTCAGGCGAAGAGAAACAGAAGGACGAACTACGCTCTGCTATTTTTACCAAAATATCCACTGCTAAACTGAACAACGCTTTCCTACTGTCTTCGAAATATTCACTGCTAACCTCAGGATTCTATACTCAAAGACAACCGTTATCATGAACAACAATGATAACCTATGAAGAAATTGGTATCATAATAGCTGCCAGGAAGTCTATCCTATCGCTTGATGACTTTACCTAGATTAAGTGTGGGAGCAGCGACTTTGACGTTCCGATGGTTGTGGGGGTATGATTCAGTCCAAGTTGCAGATCTTGTTTGTATTTATATTTTGATCCTTAGAAGGATCGTTGAACTTAAATCAGTAGGTCTATATCGAGACGAGTACTAATTTATGATCATAATTGTAATGATTCGCCTACTATTAAATTACGTAAAAAATATTAGAGCTTTCCAGTTTCTGGGAGAGTTGATAAGTCCGTTGAAAGGGTGAAATGGCCATTCTTGTGGAAGAGTAAATTTCATCTATCTGTATTATATATATATATATATATATATATATATATATATATATATATATAGGGTTTGTCTGACGATCGCAAATAGCGTGAAACCCAGGCAACTATATATATATATATATATATATATAGCACAGCTCAAAAAATCCGCTAATAAATTTATTTCAGCAGGTAAGTTTTTAATACCGAAATTACAAAATACTCTAAATTTATCCAGACAATATGTTAAAAAATATACATATACAATATATTGGGCTTTTTCATGGATTTATCTTTTTAATATTTTATATTAAAAAGAACTACTTGGATTATCCTTTCTAATTACGGATTTGATATTATTATCTATATAGTCATCCACAAACTGTTTCACAGCTCATCAGCGTATGTTAGACATCCGATTATTTCGAGCCGGGATCGAAACTTGACCGATTTGACATTAGTCAGATACTCTTACCCCTAGGCTACCGGCGCACGGCAAAGAAAGATGTTTTACACATTATATATGTGATATATAAACGCCATACCGGCCGCCATAGCGTTCAATTCTTACGAAGAGCGATGCATTCAAGCTGCAACAGCCGTTAAAATGTCCTTTTCTATAGAGGGCTCAATCGGTGAACGAGAGTATACTCATCCACAGACAGACTGTTTCAATGTATCACAGAGCAGAATGAAGCGAATATATAAACAAATCGTGGAATGAGAGGAACAGTATCGATGTAGGAATGCCAAACTTTAAATTTAAATTTTTGTTGTCCGATGTA